GGCGCGAATTCAGCTGGTCCAATAAGCAACGATGAGAACTGTTGGGGATTGAATGATAACATACTTTAGGAGTTGTTCTTCCTCAAGTCGACAGGGGATGTGAAGCAGTTTACCGAAAGAAGTGATAACAGCATACCGCGGTTATTTACGATCTATAATAAAACGAATAATACGCCGTTTAACGACAAAATCGAACTGCCCACAGTGCTGGTAGGCCCAAGAGTAGTTTATCACAGCCCGCACCAAATTGCATCACAGTATGACCGGATTAGGGTCATAGTAGGTTGATTGGCTCATTATTATGATTTTCACACACGCCTGAATCTAGACTGTGTGCCAAACAAATCATGGTACAATGATCTTTATAAAAAGGAAAACGGTCTACGATTTGCAAATCATTGATTGGCTCAGGCAGACGTGTTTTGGTGTTCCTCCGCTCCTAACAGTTAGTTCATCTTATGTTGAAAATTCACAGTTGACTGCGTAGGATGGTGACGGATATCACACTCCGAGACCTGTACGAATGGCCATCGCCAGGACTGCAAACCGAACGGAACCAAACATCACCATTGTCAGAAAGAGGTTGCTTCAAGGATAGCATAGAACTGGTGAGTTCCACGTGACACAAGTATGAGATTATATCCCTCTGCTAAGTCGCTTATGTTCATATTCTTTCCAATGTTGATAACATGGTATTCAGACGTCTGGTGAGTCAATGAAAAGTTTACATTCAATAAGCACAAGAACATCAATAGTCCCCATGATGACTCGGGGGTGTCGACCGGGGGAATGCATTTCGGCCACATGCTAAGTATGACCAACAGCGTCAAAAACAGTCGAACAGCTAATATAGTGCATTGGTTGAGTGCTGCGTTTTGATAAAAAAACAGGAAAACAAAACAGATTGTGAGGTGACAAATTTAGAAAAAAGTTGACAGCTAAAACAGCGAATGCAAAAATGCTACTGTGACACCTTACACATACTTTCTCTCTCCCTTTCAGTTACAAAACCTAATTTCGGTAACACGACTCATCTTAGTCATCAAGAATGCATGATGTTTAAAGTGTCACAGATTGGTCAACTTTAACTCTATGCTGGCAGTTAGTCTACACGGCAATGTTCCCATAAAAATGCCTTGAACCCAAACCTTGAGAACCATATCCCTTAGTCACAAACGCTTTAAAACGTGATAAGCAGTGATGATGCATCGAGCGTAACACCAAACGGTCAAGTGATAAGCAAAAAAACCAATACTTTGAAAATAAATCGTGTAATATAGTAATCGGTCTTTTTTCTTTTTATATGAACAATAAATTTATTTTTGCGTTTACACCTGCTCATCATCATCGTCATCGTATAGCATAATACATAGAAGCAAACTTCACTGATCGCTGCCAAACTCGCAATGCATATGCATTGGGGTTTGATGGACAGATATTGCTAGGGTGTTCAGCCACTAAGTAGGAGAACGGTTGGGGTTCTCGTCCAAAGTCTTTAATTNTTTAATTCTGACAAGAACCTGGCCGCAAGGCAGCGGCTGAAGCGAAGTGGAGGCCCATTTACTTGGACCAATTACTCTTCAATCATTTTTACCGATTGAAACGCAAATTTTAGTCGAACAGTCAACCTGGAGGACTAGGAGACTGAACCTTGGCCGACCTCTACCCTTTGACCTTCCAGGCATGATTAGATCTTCGGCTTGACAAAAGCCATCCTGTTCATCTCGTTGGGTCAGAGAGGTACACAAACCATCACACCACATCAAGGGGCAGTCTCGTCGTGATAACACATGCTTCTCGTTTCTGATCCAAAACAACAATTAAAAAGACAATTAGATGCAAGACTCACCGACGGTCGATCATCTAGAAAGTGTTTTAGCCGTATACAAGCCAAAGTAGTCCGACAACGATAGGAGGCTAGTGCCTTGAATCGGGCGAAACGACTTATCCAATAAAGCACATGACCACCAGCCTTCAGACTCTAGAAAACCAACAAAGAAAGAAAGTCAAACAGTTAACTAGGCATAATGACTGGATAATTATCAAATTTCTCATAGATACATCTGTGTGATTCCAACTTACTCGCATGATGAATGACTTGTTCCATTTCTTAGTCAATTCCGTGGCGCGTAAGTCTTGCCAACTGATCACACGTGATCGGGGCTTTCCAGTTTCTCTACAATCACAAAAGAAGGACAAGAACTAAGGATAAGTCTAAAACAAACAAACTAACCTTTCCCACAACATTAGGCTGTTGCGTTGGACCGATATGCCCAGACAAGCGATATTCTCCGGACCAACTCCGACATCTGACCGAGTGGACCAAGGGAGTTAGACGAAAATGTACAGATAAACGTACTTTGCATCACGCCATCCAGAACGCGACAAAAACAATTCCATACACCTTCGGGATCCAGTTCACATGACCCATCTGGTCCTTCTATCCGTTCGACCTAATTAGTGCAGTGACAATAAAAAGGGGAAAGGTTACACATGGAAAGAGCACACCTGTATACACAGAAGAGGTGTGTTGGTGGGTAGGTGCGAAGCCATAATAAAACCACGAAGTTGCTCCCTAAATAAAAACACCGTTTAGGAGGAGAGCTGTACATCTAAACAAGTAAGCCGCATAGGAAAAACTGACAAAAAATAAGCACAGTAGGCAGCTTTGCTGTCGTCCGGTAAAATACCATACCTAACTTAAGGGGACCTTCCGTAGATCGCTATTCCAAGTCCCGGGGCTTAGATTACCGGTTTCCATGACGGAGCGGAAGGTCTTCGTGACTATGAGGTTTGCCCTGTCTGCTGTTTACCACACAAATGTGTGTAATAAAGTGTCTCTGTGACGACCCACATTCTATCCTCGCTTGAAGGCTGGTCTGTCATTTTCAGTTATCAGTATCGCTAATGTTGAAACAGCATCAAAATTGATATGGATGAACCCATGCTATGGCATGTCGGAGTGCAATAAAAAATGGAAAGGAATCAGTGCACCATCAGAGAGTACTACTTGGTTATGAAGACTGGTAATCTAATCAGTGGGATTTCGAGCAGAGCCCACAGACTCCATTCGAAATATCACAGAAGGGTTGATATTTAGTGCAAAATCGATAAGGTATTTAAGCTTATATGATTGCGCTTCAAGACAACCAGTAAATTAGACCTCACTTTCTTGAGTTTAGACTGTGCCAAACAACTAAAAGGTAAGAACCATGTGTGCATTTGAAATGTTTTGAGTGAAGAGAAAACAAGCATAGAATAATCTCTCAGATAAAATTGTAAAAGCAGCGTGGCGACGAAGAAACAAAACAAACAGCAATCCAACGTACCACACAGGTGTATGTTGCTATTTTCTCCAACTCACGAGAGTACAAAGTGGCACATGCATGAGTGCTTCCAAAATCAAGTCCTAAAATGAATCGCGAACCAGTATGGTTTGCCATCAACTAAAATGTGTGGGAGAACAAACTGTTAGCTTTGTTTTATAAGGTAATGTAAGAAGTGAGAATACACGCAATATTTTTTTATTTCAATGACTACGCTATGTACATCATTCAATATATTCATATGCTTATGTTTCATCAGAATACTTGTTGCCGATAACACGAGTTAGTTCACGTATTCTTGCTTCCTCTATTTCTACCATAGTGAAAAGTTCGTTTATCTGGTTTGTTAATTCGTCAAGTTTTTTCTGTAGGTTCTCCTCCTTGAAAGCTTCTTTTCGGGATTGCCTTCGATATTCAAAAACGAGGATAGCTGCTCCAAAAGCGAACATTATAATTTCCCCAAGCATTTCTGCACCTAACTCGGCAGCCGCATCTTCGCTCAGCTTTGCAACTTCAGCCGGCTTCGACAAGCCAAGGATGCGTAATTTCAACCGCGTTTCCCATAAGTGGTAAACTGTAATCGTGTATTCAGTGGATCCAGAAGTATATGCTTACGCTGAGCTGGTGGTANGTAAACAAACATATCGACGAAAGATTTGGTTAGATTTTGCTCTCCTCTTCAGAAAATTTGCGATAGGTTTGCTAATTTGCTTCACTGCCAACGCACCAAGCTTGAAAACTGGAAATGCGCCGACCATATGTTCAGGTCAAGAGCATTAATACTTGCACCCCTATTAAGTTCAGTACAGTTTTCATAGTCCAATGTCCAATGTCCA